ACTCCACATCAGGACCCTTGTCCTTCTTCAGAGCCGTTTTAATAACTTCCTCTGAACTATTTGCACCTAGGATGCCATGTTTGATCTAATCCATGATGGTGTTTCAGCAATTGATTCCTAAATGAAAATGCATGTTGAATTTAAGGCAGGCCTGATTAAACACTTCTTTTATTTTTGTGTGGAAGAATGAGGTAATCCAGGTGAAGCGGTGAGTTTTCAATGTAATCTGCCATTGGGAAAGGAGTGGCATTCCGTTCCTGTGAAAAGGACAGATTTCATGGAACTAATTTGGCTGACTCATGTGATGTGGTATGTGGTTACAAAATTCAACGGCTTCGAAGTCTTTGGTTTATATGGTCTGTGCAACCTTGTCATCTCATTAAAGCATTAGTGCTTGAACTTCCCAATTCCTGTTTTTATTTGGCACACTCAGCATAGAACCTTAGTATACTAACAAATATAATTCTAATGTGATCAGTATTTTAACTGTTTGAGCACATCACTAAACCTTGCAGTATAGATTACCGATGAAGAGTATAGATTACCAATTAAATGTTTGAGGTTTCTGGAGACTTTTCACAAATACTTGGAGAACTGTAATTAATAGGTTTTTGCGACAGAAAAAGTTAGGTCATGTTTACTTGTGAAGGCATTGGATGCTCCGCAGTCATAGGATGTGTTAATATTCTTTTTGCCATTCTGAATTCTACCTAGATTATAGAAAACTGGGTACTGGCATTTCACTGACATCTTAAAGGAATGTCAGTTCTATTACCATCTCTTATACTTTGCCTTCTGTAACAGCATTTAGTAGAATTTGGCCTTAGGCTCAGGGAGCAAATTGCAGTTTATTGGCTTGGTGAAAAGGTAATCCAGATATAGGAGAGATGTACAGTTGTCACTTTGAAAAAAACCCTGGGGGTTCATATTCCTAGATGGCAAGATGAACTAGTAAAATTGCCTGTCATCTATTTTGGGGTATTCATATAACTTATTAGAAATTTAGGAAGAGGACTCTATTGTGAGATTAGATTGGAATGATATATGTTGTTATGTACTATTAGTTGTAGTAACACTAACACCTACAGTATTTTATACTTTTCCTTTCATAAAACAAAACAATGTCAGTCCAATAAATTGCTGTACTGTCCTTGTGTTTTTTTAAGTGTGTGTATGTATATGCATATGCAGTGTGTGTGTTACCTAATTTTAATGAAATGCTGCTCTACTGCCTGTGATAGGGAGTATTTATAAAAAAGAATTCCAAGTGTAAGTTTGTGCAAATTCTAAGCCTCTCAAAATCTGGTTGTTCATTGTTAGTAGAGAATTTTAAGAATTTGGCATCTGAATTCTCTAAGGATTTAGTTTTTCTCTGAGCATACTCCACTCCAGGAATGTAAGGGCTGAGTAGGTTCATACTTTCCCATTTATTTTTTGAAGCATCTGGGAGTCTGCTTTGGCATAAAGTACCAGAACTAAGAGCAGGAGGCATTCTTCCAGCTTTGAATCCAGCTAATGTAATATTTCTTCCTCATCTAGTGGCTAGTCCTGGGTAGGTAACAGCCACCTACTGCTACCAATCAATTAGCTTAAAAGATAGAGATGGTTGTTTTGTATTAAAAGATTTGATGAGCCGTATGAGAAGGAGGTGATCTTCATGATGGAATCCATGTTTTGTCACCTTATGAAAAATAACTGATTAAACATTAAAAGAAAGTTAAGGTTGCAAAGTCCAGCACTAAAAAAAGTAGGAAAGGCTAATCTTAATTATCCTTCTCCTTGAATGGCATGCTGTATGAAACAGCTTGTAATTACATGATTTCACAATTATTTTTTTACTTGGTGCACAGCATAGGTGATGCTCAATGAATATGAAGCACCTTTAATGTATGAAACAATCACATATCAAAAGAGATATTTTAAAGCACTGGGTTAGTAATAGTTTGTGGCAGTAATCCTTTCATGGTGCAAATAATTTTTTTTTTTTTTTTTTTTTTTTTTAAAGCAGAAAAATAGAAGATGATTCATTTTTGTATTTGTTCCATGATGGAGAAGATGATAAGATGGGGGGAAAAAGCAGCATGCTGGATAAGGAATTGAGCCTGAACAATTTATTACAGATTTTGATTTTTCAATATACATAAAGATGTCTATAAATTGGCCAATAAATGAAAGCTATGTAAGGATAACGTTGCATATCTTTGCATGCTTGACATGTCATTGAATGTTTCTGTTGTGAAGGAGTGTATCAGATGTTTTATAAAGAGACTGTAATGTCAAGATAGCTCATCACACTACTTATATAAAATTCCACTCTGAAGCAAGTTTGCATCTCAGCCTTGCTTCATTTCTTTCTCTTATGTTTTACTGTCTGTACATAAATTATTTTTACGTATCAGTTTATCGGTGAATTCATGGAACACTGGGATGCAAGAAGTGATCTCTCTGGGGGAGATCATACGGTGTTCTGTTTGAGTAAAATGCTGAATTACTTTGCAGGATGGCTTTGAATTAATTTTCATTTGCCTGTTTATAATATCTGTCCTAATACATTTGAAATGCCAGTTATACCAAAATTGCACAGGAAACACTAGTCAATGGGTAAGTGTGTGCCAGTTCAAATATCTATTGAAAGGATGCTACAGAATAAAGTTTTGTTTTCAATCATCTTTATTTAAAAAGAAACAAAAACACAACTAAATTTTGGATTAGGATTGGAAAACAGGAGAACCCTAGAATCTTTACATGCCATGTCTTAATTATTCTGGCCAGGGGTCTATTGAGGATTCAAATTGTACAGGTCTCATTGTAAACAGCTTCTAATAAATTCACAAAGATTGGTATTTAACTTGGTACTTTAGTTTCCAGCCCAGATTCAATGAGCTAGAAAGCCTAGTTCAGTCTTTCTCAACCTTTTTTAGACTTGAAGCACCCTTCATTTGATTCTAGACATGCTTCAGATAATGGCAGCTTATTTTTCACTACTTTTTTTACTATAGAAAAATAATAGATAAAGTTTTTTGTAGCAAAGAACTCAGAAAGACCACAATAGGTCAGAATGTATTTAACACTAAATTCCTATTTGGAATCTCTGTTTCTTTTGTCAATTATGTTTGCGTGCCTAACAGTGGGAACGTTGTGGCACCCTGAAGCAACCAGGAAAGGCTTGCCAGGCACCCCCCGGATGCTATGGCACCCTGATTTGAGAATCATTTGCCTAATTAGTGAACTGTTCTTGTGATAGGAAGCAGTACTTCTGTTTACACAGCAATATTTACAGATGATCCGTTGATAACAAATTCCTCCCTTCCTCCCCTTATTGTCTCTTTTTTTGTGTTTCAGCCTGTTCAGCTTTCTGGGCATCCAGGAAAATATTTTTAAAATTCTCGGTTATGATCGTTATGGATTTTTTTTCTCTTGGCTATAAAACCTTGGCTGCGAACTATACGAGTTAGCATTTTTTAAGCTCACATAACATTTATAAGCATCAGCTTTCACTGCCTAATCTTTACCCCAAACTTTGTTTTTTTACCTGATAAAGATTTTTGAAAGAATATGACCTAATTTTTTTAAAACTTGTGTTAATTACTGTAGAATAAAAGGTGGATAGAGGGTGGGAAGCGTCTGTAAATCCCATTTTTTATCAGAAGTAATTGACAGGTCTCATTGTAAACAGTTCATTAGAGGGTTCATTAGAGGCAGGTCCTGTCAGACCAACCTGGTGGCCTTCTATGACCAGGTCACAAAATCCTTAGACGCAGGTGTAGCAGTGGACATAGTATTTCTGGACTTTAGGAAGGCCTTCGACACTGTCTCTCACCCCATTCTCATTTAAAAAAAAAACAAAACTAGGGGACTGTGACTTTGACACCTACGCAATCAATTGGGTCACTAACTGGCTGGAGGGACTCACCCAGAGAGTGGTGGTGGATGGGTCCTATTCGACCTGGAGGGATGTGGGCAGTGGGGTTCCGCAGGGCTTGGTCCTTAGGCCTGCACCGTTCAACATCTTCATCAGCGACTTGGCCAACGGGTTCAAAAGCACCCTGTTCAAATTCGCAGGTGACACTAAGATGTGGGAGGAAGTGGGCACGCTAGAAGGGAGGAATAGGTTGCAATCAGACCTAGACAGGTTACAGGGGTGGGTGGATGAGAACAGGATGGGTTTCAACACTGACAAGTGCAAGGTACTGCACCTGGCGGGGGAGAACCAGCAGCGTGCCTACAGGCTGGGGAACTCCCTTCTCGTCAGTGCAAAGGCAGAAAAGGATCTTGGAGTCATTATTGATGCCAAAATGAACATGGACCGACAGTGTGGGGATGCGGTCAGGAAGGCCAACCATACCTTGTCATGCATCCACAGATGCATCTCAAGCAGGTCCAAGGAGGTGATCCTCCCCCCTCTATGCGACACTGGTCAGGCCGCAGTTGGAGTACTGCGTCCAGTTCTGGGCACCGCACTTCAGGAGGCATGTAGACAACATGGAGAGGGTCCAGAGGAGGGCCACTTGCTTGATCAGGGGTCAGCAGGGCAGGCCCTACAAGGAGAGGCTAAAGGACCTGAACCTGCCTCCACAAGAGAAGGCTGAGGGGGGATCTAGTGGCCATTTACAAACTAGTCAGAGGGGACCAGCAGGCATTGGGGGAGTCCCTGTTCCCCCGAGCACTACCAGGAACAACAAGAAATAATGGTCACAAGCTGGCAGAGGGTAGATTCAGTCTAGACATCAGGAGGCGCTACTTCACAGGGTGGCTAGGATCTGGAACCAACTTCTGAGAAGTGGTGCTGGCTCTTACCTTGGGGGTCTTTAAGAGGAGGCTGGATTAGCACCTTGCCGGGATCGTCTGACCCCAGTACTCTTTCCTGCCATGGCAGGGGGTTGGACTTGATGACCTGCTCAGGTCCCTTCCGACCCTACCAACTATGAAACAGATGAATCACTTACGAGACGTATCTTTTATAATTAAGGGTTTTATTAAATACACTTTTTGCTTTACAGGTTATTCAGAAATAGTAATGAACTCCCGGTTACGAGCATTAGGTGGGAGAATAAATAATATACGTTCATCAGAGCTGCCAAAAGAGAAGACCCGATCAGAGATTATCTGTAACGTCCACTTTCTGGATGGCTCAATACAAAGCTTCAAAGTCAATGTAAGTTCTAAAGTTTTCTTTTCTTCCTTTTCTTCAAATATAGATGTATTGCTTTTATTTTGGATTACAGATATCCATTTTTATCATGGAATATGTTGGTGTTACTGGTTATGAATTGAGCATACCAATCTGGTATTTTAACTGTCTTTAATTTCAACTGATGTTAGTTGATGTTAATTCTTACTTTGCCAAATGTGTCTAGGGCAAGAGTGGGCAAATTACGGCCTGCAGGCTGGATCCGGTGTACTGAAAGATTTTGTCCAGCCTATGGTAGGTCCCTCAGTTATGCCCAGCCCAGACGCAGTGGTAGCCTGGGCCGGGGTACGTGTTGCCAGTCCTGACGCTCCCAGGCACATAGTGGGGCTGGGACAGTGTGGTGGCTGGACTTCCCCTGCTTCCTGGACACCGCGGTCCATCAGACCTGCACCTGCTGCTGTGAGTGGGACCTGTGTGGGTAAGGCATGGGGCTGTGGGTGGGTGGGGAGTGGTGTTTGGAATCAGGGCAGGTGGGCAAGGCTGGAATTGTGGGGTGGTGACAGTGTGGGGCTGGGGCCGTGGCAGAGGTATGGTCCGCTGCTTGCGGGGGCATGCAGGGAATGGATTGAAGCTCTGCTCTGGGCCCTGGGCCCAGATGCAGCTCTTTGCCTGCCGCAGCCCTATCCTGTCTGTTTACATGTGGGTCCCAGCCAGTCTCCATGGAGAGCCCAGAGCCTGGGGCAGAGCCGTGATCCACTCCCTGCACACCCGTGCCCGCAAAACCGGCGCCTGTTGCAGGGACATGTAGGCAGTGGATCACAGCTGTGCTCTGGGCCCTGGCCCTGTGTTGTCAGTACCCCACCATCCCAGCCTCAGCTCCACCTGTGTCCCCAGCTCAGCGTAGAGTAGAGCCATTTAAGAAGTTTTGGTGAGCTGTTGTGCAGGGTTGTGGGGTGTGCTGACCTGGCCCACAACAGCTCATCAGAACTCCCTATGTGGCCTACAGGCCCAAATAATTTCCCACCTCTGATCTAGGAAATAGCCGTACCTAGCTTCTATTTCAAGTAGTCTAAGTGTATCTGTATGGATTTTCCAGATATATAAATCAAGAAAATCTATCTATGTATCTATCTATTTTTGTGAGCATGTGCTTTAGTGGGAACACATTTTTGCTGATTTTGAAGGTGGTAATGCTGAAAATATGCTTTTTGGTGGGGGGGGTTTATAAAATAGTTCGGCTGGGTCATTAATTTTTTGTCATAGGAGCTGGAATGTTCATTGCTTTTTATTCATTCCTTCACCACTCTTTCATTTGTGGAGGTGAATAGAAGTACCCTCTGCATTCTCTCTGGCCATTACACCCAGGACACCCTCTTCTACCTTACTTCCCATTGCAATCCAAGAACAGCTTCCTGCAAATAACATCAGTTTGCCAAATCTGCTTGATGAAAACTTATAGGAAATTGTTCTTGACAGTTGCTCTTCAGCTCTGGAACTCTGTTGGTCTTGAGTCCCTCCAGAATCTGAGCCTGGACATCTTTCAAAAGAAGTCCCACCCTAACCTCTAGACTGCAGCAGGTCCCCCACCAGCTGCAGCAGTGGCAGCAGCAGCCCTGTCTGGACAGTGTGCTGGCCAGCTGGGCCCTTCAGCCCACAAGGATGGGAGCAAGGCCCAATAGAATATGTTGGCGAGACGGGGGTAGTATATACATGGGCACTTTGCTGCTACCCTAATGGGTGAAATGGCTGGGCGGGGTGCAATTAGTTGGTGGGCATTGCAGGTTGGATGAAAGTGCCTGGTGGGTTGAATCTGCCCCATTTGCCTGTATTTTGCTTGCCCCTGTCTTATACCGCGTTATGTTGCATAGCTCTGCTGGCTAACAGTATGAAAAACGAGCACGCTCTAACATAGCTATGCAGGCAAAGCCACTGTGATTGACAAATGGAGCAACTTCTGTTTTGGCTAGTGACTTTCAGATTTTTATTTTAGCTATTTCTGAGGAATATAATGGCATTTTAAAAGTCAAAAGATTTTTTAGAGACCTTCCTGACCTTAGAGCATCATTTCTGTTGGTACTGTGCACTCTCATACAGTTTCAAAAGTACTGAAACTCCACTGAAGATAGTGGTTCTGAACCTTTATAGACCCTAGGTGTATCCCTCTAAAACTTTTCAGAATTTAGTAGCACCTCATTTATAAAGCTAATATAAATATATTACTAATATGATCATCTAAACATTATCATTGTATGATTAATGCTATTAATTGATTATATGTTTATATTATTTTCTCCTCCTTCAGACCCTAACTGTGTCTGGCCCAGAGCACACTTGCAACCACTGCAGCAGTGATTCCCTGCACATGGCTGCAAGTCACTGGTGGGGAGTGGGGGCAACTGGACCAAATTCTTCCCGTAGTTCTCTCAGGGCTATCCCTTCTGAATGCTAGCCCTGGGGCTGTAAGTGACAGAGTCCAGGGATGCCCGGCCAACAGAGACGAGGTGCCAGGCTGCACGTGCACTGCATGGGAAGTGCTGAGAGGGTGGGAGGGGCAAGGACTGTGCAGAAGAACACATGAGGCCTAGGAAGGGGAAGAGAGCAGGTGAAGAGTGGTGAGGGTGCTGCTGCATGGTTACTGCTACTGCTGCTGTTTCTAAGTGGAACTGCACCTTGTGCCTTCTGCAGAGGCAGATCGGGAAGCAACTGTGACAGAAAGGCGAGCCTGCCTGCATTATGCTACTCGGGCAGGCATGCCGCTTCTTTTGCAGCTCTTCATGGTTCGAGTCTGACACCTGCTGAAAAACAGTGCACATAGTCAAGGCAGTTGACCCCCTGGCAATGGTAGCAGCAGCTTGGAGATAAAAGCTGCCACTAGATAGAACTGCTCTGTGCATCTCAGTTTTCTGGAGGCACATTGGAGCAGAACCAGGAAGAGCTGCAGCAGAAATGGCCCATGTTCCTGTATCATGTAATGCAGGCAGGCATGCTTTTTGCTGTAGCTGCTTCTAAGTTGCTCCAACATGTCTCTTAAAAACAGCAGTGGTGGGGCTGGAGTTGTAGTATCCCACTTGAGAACCACCAACTGAAGTCCACATACTTTCACTTGAATGTCTCTGGTTTGGAATCATTGGTCTTTTTCAAAACGTTTTCAATGCTTTCTTTATCATATAATAACACCAGTATGAAGAGACTTTCTGCCTCTCTACTTCCTGTTGGAAAATAAGTTATTTTTTATTTCATAGCAACTTTATAAAAAGTAAATGGGGTGTTCTGGTCTTTCATTTTTCTAATAATGATCTCTTGGGCTCATATTTAATGTGTAGGAACCCTCACAAGTTATCAGCTATTGAACTGAACCTTGTCCTGATAACTGTTACTATGGAACCTTACTTTTCAGTACGTCTAAGATCAGGTGATCTACTTCTAATGCCCTTGTGGTGATAAAGAAGGTAAACAATATATATTCCCAGTCATTCATTATTGATTTGATGTCCCATAGGGATTGCTTTACCTGGCTACCAATGATAAATCTGTCTTGACACATACCCTCACTAGGTCTGAAAAAATAGAAAGAATGAGGAAAACCAGTAGAAATAGACATTGAATCTTCTTTTCTAGTGGTAATCAGAAAACCACCGTAGCTTCATGACTTATTTACTGATAATGAGTAGTTGGTTGGTCATGCAACATTGATTTGCTGCATTTTTGGCTGCTATGCGATCTTAAAATATAGTATAAAATAAGTTTAAAGTATTCTTCTAAATGCAGGGAAGCAATTATGGTATCTGCTGCAAAGATTACATGGGGTTGTGAACAGAAGGTAAGATATAACAGGGTGTATAATAAGGTATGCTTTGTTTTTTTTTTTTTCATGTGAGCACTGACAAACTTTATGCTTGTTAACCTTTTTGCTTATTGACCTATCACCGGTAGACAGATTCGTGAAGTGCTGTTTTTAATGAAAAATCACATTTTCACTTCCAGCCTTTGGTTTTGTTTTAGATGGATAAACATTTGTTCATATGTTGTATTGCAAAAATTTTGTCCCTTGTTTATGGAGGATAAGTGACAGTTTTCCAAATAAAATAAGCTACTTTGTGTAACAGTAAGAAATATTTATTGCCCACTAGGTAGCTGCAACCTGCTTGTTGTGAAATCTAAAGTTCAAAATCTTTTTGAACTTGTTTCTTTTAAATTAGCTCTTCTAAAAATCTTTAATTCTGAAAGACAAGAGGTGGATGTGACTATAATGTAAATATTTACTGCTCTGATGTGCTATAGCTGGAGTGATTTAAACAAGATGGTTCAGATTCAGACCACTTCTCTTAAATATGTGGACTGTCATCTCGCCCACATGCTTAGGGAAAAATATATCTAGCCTGTTCAACCATATTTAGTCAATGAATTTGACCATATGTTGTCTCTAGTGGGTTATGGAATAGAGAAAATCCCACACAATTTACTGATTCGTTTTGATGCACTGGCTGGGGGAGTAGTTAGCTGATTGCGTGATTTCACAATGATTACACACTTAATTTATACAACACAATTTTATTTTAAAACTCTTTGCTACGTATATAACACTGCTTAGCTTTAAGAAATACCACAAACATTAAGAACACAATAATTACATATATCAGAAACAATGCTCCGAATGCACTTCCTTCCCAAACAATGCTATAAGAATTAGTGTTACAAAAACAACTACAATTACAACTAAAAGTTAAATTTGAATCAATACTATTATTTTTCATAATATACTTACAATCCTAGAATTCCGAGAAGCCAAATACCAAGATATGGTTTCATTCCTCAGTAGTACAATTTAATGGGTTGGCCTCAGTAGTACGGTTCAATGGGCTCGCCTCAGCAATACGATTCAATAGGCTGACCTCAGCAATACGATTCAATGAGCTAGGCTCAGCAGTGATAGGACTAAGTCCCCTTCCTTCAGTCCCTTTCGGGCGCTCTGCAGCTTCAGCGTGAACTAAGAAATTCGTGTTCACAGAGAGGTTGGATCAGGT